TGTGGTTGGGGAGTGAGGGCATGGGAGGGATTTGGGTACTTGTAGGTCAGGAGTGCAAGGCACCAGCAAGGACAGGGGGAAGGGGGAGGGGTCTGTGGGTTGGGAGTGAGGGGCTTGGGCCAGGGGGCTGTAGGGTGGGACTGAGGGTCTCCAGCATAGCCCAAGGGAGTGAGAGACTGGGTCAGGAGTAAGGGGCAGCAGCAGGGACAAGGGGCTGTGGGTTAAGAGTAAGGTGTTCCCCTGTCAGGTATCCTCTTTTTTGGAGCTGGAAATGAAATATAGTAACCCTAGTTCTGGTGACATTCTGAAAGTTGTTTCTGTGCTAACACTGCAGGATCAGACTCTTTCAATTTACCAGTTGATATCACTAGGCCGTGGGGGATTCATCTTCCGTGTACTACTCAAAGGTGTTCATCAGCTGAGTGGAATTTTTTAGTTGAATGGTTTATTCACTAAAAAATGCAGCAAACTTAGGTGTCTTTAACTTCCCTAAGTGTCTAACATTGTAACCAAAATAATTATGTTAATATTCTATCAAGTATTTCCAATTAAAATGTTCTTTTATTAAAACAGTTAATGAGTTTCTGCAAATACCAGTTCATTTAGATGTGATAGTTTTCCCTTAAGTAATTAGAGCAGACAGCTTTTCCTCGGGGATGAGCCATTTATACTTATGTAGTCTAAACATTTAGATAATTTAAGACAGGACTGGTAGAATATTCAGGGTAGAATTTGTTAAAACACTTATTTTCATGTTAATAGGTAACCTATCAACAATGTTCTCTTCAGTTAGCTTATCAAATTTTACCAAGCTGATTTTCCAGATGCTTCCTCATTTTATAGGACCTGTTCCATAACTGTGTTACTTATCTTTCACATGATGTAAAGGGAACTACAGGTTTCCCTCGCTGTATGAGGGTTCTGTATGTGCAAATTCACACTTACGTGATGACTCTTTTATACCAAAAATTCATTATATGCGAGGTAAATTCACTCTTATGCAATCGGTGTGGTGGAAGCCCGCAGTCAGCTGCTTTGTATGGTGCATTGTGGGAGTGACATGCACCAAAATTTAGTCTCCTGTGTGATCTCTGATCCTCGCTCATTGTTTGCGACACGTGTTTCTGTAGCTGCCATCTCCATTATAGCTTCTAAGCATCCCGCTATCTTATCCCCTCTCCCTGGCCCATCAATGAAGCCTTCACCACCCTCTCTTCACACTAACTAAACATGCACCACCACCCTGTGCTTGTGTGTACTATCTGCTGTTGGTGAGTGCCAAAATTGCCTTGTAAATGTGGTAGAAATGGGCCTGGGGGTCAGTACAGTCAAGGTGTTGGAAAGTATCCCTAGTTGTTACATTGTAAAGTGGGTTCCCTTTATGCCAATTCAAGTTATGAGCTGCTTTCCAGGAACACGTGCAGCATAGAGTGAAGGAAACCTGTAGTGTAAATCTTAAGTAATGCAGTAGTGAATCACCTCCAAAGTTTAAGGGGGGGAAAAACATATTTTTTCCATGTGGGTACAAGAAAGGAGAAGAAACCTTACATCATGTGATAAAGCATAACAAGCATTGCCTTAGCTACTAGAAGTTAACAAAAACAAGCCATGAATGGCAGGTGCAGTCTGGCTTCCTAGAAATCCAGAATACATTATAGCTTCCAACTTGCAAGCTAAGGAAAAACAATAAATTGAAATTCCATCTATATTTGAGGTCATCCTTTAGGTTTCAGTCTTTTTTTTCCCCCTATGTTCAAGACCTGATCTTCCCATGAAAGGAAATAAATTAAAGTTATTAAATAAACATATTTTCTCTCTCAAAAACTATATTTAAGAATATATTTAATTTGTTTATACTATTAGAGCTTCTCCATGTGAAGGTGAGCTTCAGGAATTAATGCACCAAATTGACATCATGGTAAGCAACAAAAAAGTGGAATGGGAAAGAAAGACACGAGCTTTGGAAGCGAAGATGGATGTCCGGGATCAAGAATTAGCAGATGCCCAAAGCAAATTGGATCAGAAAGGTCAAGAGGTACTTAATGAATGCCATCCTGTACAAAGATAGCATGTCTGAAGGAGTTTTCTAATAGCTTGTTCACTGCATATGTTTGCTCATTGAACCACTTCAGTGGTTCTATTCTGAAAAATTGCTAAAAAGTCCCATTAAGAAGTCCCATAATTATTCTATTGCAATGATGCTCAGACCAAGTAAACTCCATTTACAATTTAAAAAAAAAAGATTATCTGGTAGTTTTTTTTTCAAGTGCTGCCCTGCTAACTCCATCCAGGATTTGAAAGTCAAATGCTTGCTTACTTTCTTATGCATATTCAATAATTATAAAAGCTTTTCAGGTCTAATTAGAACCTCATGCATTCCTTTCCCAGTGCATTATTATGAATATTGTTGTTCTTATTTATTAATTTGTATTGCAGTACTACTTATAACTGCTTGTTAAAGCCCAAAGCTGTTCTGTGCTTTGTAGAGATGCAAAGATTTATCTGCAAAGTATGAACTTAGAGTGCAATTGTACATGGTGTCTTCAAATCATTTCCACAAGTGTAATTGCAGTTTAGTAAAATGAAGTTCATATTAGATGTTGGCCTATAGGGCTGCTTTCAAGGAAAAATCTTAACTTACATTGTCATGTATTATTACAATCAAATCACAATGCAACCACACAATGGACTTGATACTCATAAAATCTCGCACAATGTTTATGCAATTTAGTTTGCGGTATGTACTTTTACTTTTGAAAAAATTTTTAAACGTCTAGATTATAAAATAGTTACTTGTCTGGTAGTCTGATATGAAACTTTGTCTGTTTTAAATATTAGCTTTTGCAAAATATTTTGAAAAAATAAACCAGAATATTTATTCCAACTGTAGGTAGGGATGCTCAGACAAAAATTGGAGGACTTGCAGAAGACAAAATATGAGATGGCTAAGAATTATGAAGCTCAACTTCAAGCTCTGAAATCCCAAGTAAGGAAAAAGTCAAATTCAGTATTTTACAGTGGTTGTGATATATTCAGGTTAGTTTAGTAGATATTGAACTGGTGTTTTTTTAACTGTATCATTGTAACTTCATCAAAACATAGGAAAAGTAGTGCTTTAATGGACTTCAGGAGGTCATCTAGTCCAGTGGGTGTCAACTTTTTAGACAGACATGCCACAAATTAGGACCTCACCCTCCCCAAGTGCCACTCCAATCCCTTTCATCTGCCAGTCTGCTACTCTGCTTCCTGTCCTATATGCCACTGTACTGCATGTCCCCTCGTTGATCTGCTGTGTGCCTCACACACAGGCTGCCCGTGCTACTTGTAGCACATGAACTGCAGATTGGCCACTCCTGATCTGGTCTAACCTTCCTGATCAAGGCAGGTCCATGCCCAATTAAACAACCATGTCTATATGAGATCACAGTGTCACATCACAGTTTTTGCCACATGACACTACTATGCAGTAGTATCAGCCTACTGCACAGTCAGTGTCTTGTGTAGACATGGCCAACCAGTAGCTTAACAAACTAAGTTGGCATCCTCCCACCAGTTCCCTGAGTTGGTTGAAGTCACTTTTTTGATGTCCTGTGCCTTTATTCTGCTGCTCTCTTCCATTCTTCCCCTTAGGATCATGAACTCTATCATTTTGTGGTCACAGTCACATGTTACCTTCCACCTTCACATTCTCAACCAAATCCCCCTGTTTGAGAGCAACAGGTCCAGAAAAGTTTCCTCCTAGTTGGCTTTCTACCACCTGCACTGAAAAGTTATCCCTGGCAGACTCCCAAAACTTGATGCACTCCCTCTGTATTGCTATTACCCTCCCACCTGATGTCAGGGTAATTAGAGTCCCACATGAGCACCGGGTCTTTTGATTTGGAAATTTCCATCAGTTGTCTGAAAAGAGCTACAACCACTTCTTCCTGCTTTGGTGATCTATAGTTGATGCTCACCATGACATCAAGCTTTCAGTTCTTCTCTCTGACCTTGACCCAGAGGCTTTCAGTGGACCTGCCTCCCACTTATGTCACATTAGAACAAGCATGTGTTTGTTTCCTATTAAGCAATACCATCTCCTTTTTTCCTCTGCCAATCCTTCCTGAACAAGGTATAACCATGCTTCACAGTATCCAGTCATATGAACTATCCCACCAACTCCTCATTATCCCAATTTAATCAAACTTCGATTGAGCTATTCCTCATGCTTCTTACGTGTGTCTATAAACATTTTAAGTAACTAGCTGATTGTCCTAATTTCCTTCTAAGAACATTGCTAAGGCTCCTGCTGTTGCCTCCTGTTGCTTGGCTGTTAGCCAGTGACCTAGCTCTTTACTTACCTCCAGGTTTTGGCATATGTCCTCTCTTGAACCTAGTTTAGAGCCATTTTATATTGTGAGTTTAATTTATTTAATATTGTGCATTTAGTTTGCTGAGCTTCAGTCTCTGGTGCTTCTCAGATTTTAACAATGTAGTTTAGGCCAGGGCTGTCCAACTGGTGACCTGGAAGTTGCATGTGCCCCACCTTCCTCCCATCCAGCCACCATTTCCCCACAGTTGCTCCTGCTGAGGGCTCTTCACCCTCTTCCACCTTGTACTTTTTGCTCGGACTCCTGGGGTGGGGCAGCACAACAGAAAGGGGCTGGAGTGCCCGTGCTACACATGTTCTGGGAGAGAGGCCTGGGCTGCTTGCATTGTGTGTGCGTGCAGCAAAACAGGGAGCTGGGCTGCCTAAATTGATGGTGGGTGCTGCATGTGGCTGAAGTAGGGGGGAACCAAGATGCCTGTGTTGCAGCGGGGGGAAGGCCTGCCTACATAGTGTGCAGAGCCATGAAGGATGGAGCCAGGTTGCCCATGTGACAGGGGAACCCAGGGGAGGGGCATGCAGCTTACAGCTCTTGTGTCTGCTGCCTATGCTGTGTATGCCCCCCAGCTTCCTGGAAGTTGGACAGCCCGGATCTAGATAGTCCTAAGTTTGGTCTTAGGTTATTCATCTAATTCAGGGGTGTCAAACTCATCATCTGCCCTGGGCTGGATCCAGACCACAGAGCTCCTCATGGGCCAGATTGTTATGTAGCAGTGGCAGAGGTTAATGCAGACATTATTCATTCTCTCTTCTCCCCTGTGCCTCCCCATCATGGAATCCTCCTGGGGAGTGGTTGCTTGGGACAACTGTGGTCATGTCTGATCTCTGAGAGCACCCCCTGAAGCCAGCTCAAGCATGACTTTTAGAGTTTGGGGGGCAGAGGATGGAGCTCTGGCTCCTTCCTGCTCTGAGACCTTGCCCTTCCAGTTTCTCACTCTCCCTGATTGTTTGGTGGCCCTGACACCTGAAAGAGGGACTTTATCTCTTGTTGGGAAGAACGAATGCAACCCAAAGTTCCAATCAGCAAGAGAGACAGACAGACAGACAGACAACTGCTTTTGAATAAAGGCCACCCAGCCAGAGGTTCTGTGCCCCCCTCCAAAGCGTTAAGCAACCGACCCTGCACAGTTTAGAGCACACATAAAGGTAACTCAGCTCTTTTCTCTTCAGTCTCCCAATTCCAAAGCCTCAGAACTCCTCCATAGGTTTTTGTCACCAGAATGTGTCCTACAGACAACACCTTGCTTGTCCATTCCTTGCTTTGTCCATTGTCATGTTTTGCTCTCTCTCCCCTCTAGGCCCACTTTTGTTGAAGGGTCAACAAAGCTATTCAAGTCTCTGTAGATGGATGCGTCTTCTGTCACCTGGGGAAGCCAGTAACTCTGGCTTCACTATCTCTTTAACCCAATCTTTTCCCATGAACTAGCTTTGTAGGTAAACTGAGCCATGCAACATTATTACAACGTGAACACAGCTAACACAGAAATATTACCAAAAACCCATAGACCATCACGTCCCCACCAATGACACATGTCACCAATGGGTCTTTGTGTCCTTGATTTCAACAGCAGGCCTTCACCTTTCTACAAATGTCACAGAGCACACAAGCAATATCCATATGCTGGATCTAGCCCACAGGCCATAAGTATGACACCCTTGATCTAATGCTATTTCCAGTGATGTATATAGGTGAGAAATGGGAAGAAAACTCATCCAGCATTTGAACTTAATCTCCAAATGCACTTTCCAGTCAAACTTGAGATGAAACTTGGACTTGGCATGCCCAGGTACAGGTCCATGATTCTGACCTTAAGTCAACAACATTCCTCACTCATACCATCAAGCCTTCAAGTGGATCACCTATTCTTTTTACAGTTCTGTTATCTCTTCTGTCATCTCTTTTAATTTGTTTCTCTTTGTAAGGTGGGAAAATTGACTTGATAAACAGATTTATAAGCAAGCTGGAATGTTTTGCTTATTACCCAACTAATATTTTCAACCATGTAAGAAAGTGGCTATGGAACAAAAGCTGTTTTGTAACCTGAAGTGGTTCCCTGTGTTAGTAAGAAGATTTACATCTTGGCATGATATGTTGTGCATAATGGAGTGAAAAAAGAACACCGAGTGCATCTACATTCAGTACTATTAGCATGTAGCAATAAACTTTGTTGCATATTGCGTTGGAGTTTATTGCTCCCAGGTAACACATTTGAATATATGCCCAGGGCCAAAGCATGTTGAGCCAGGTCAGAGCAGCCCCAACTGGCAGAGAGCCTGAGGGGGTCAGCCTGCCAGCCTGGGATTGCTCTGACTGAGCTCAATGTGCTCCAGAGGAGCTGGCTGAGGCATGAGGGTACTCCAGTGTAGAGCTAGCCAGCAGGGAGCCCCTGCACTGTACCCTCGTGCCCCAGCCATCCCAGTCAGCATCTACACACGTGTTGCTGCACACTAAAGAACTCTGCCATAAGATAACGCTTTAAATACAAATGCTAACCTGTGACGGAGTTAATTAGTTTCCTGAGGCCTAACAGGGCTGCATATGTAGTTGTTGAGACTTTCCTGGGGAGATAATTAGGCAGCTCTGCAGTAAACATCTCATGGAGATGTGCCCACTAAATCTTAGCTCTAGTTGTTGGGTTTGTTTTAGAATAGCAAACACATCCTTCAGCTATAACAGATGTGTTTCTTATCTTCCAGTCTCAGATTTCCTCTTATCCTCTGACATCATGAATAATTTACCGTCATCTCAAAAACTGGTACAACTGAGCTCCAGATTTTTTCTCTATATCTTTTTCACTATATCACAACTTTCTGTTGCTGCTCCTTGTTAGGGAGACTTACAGCATGGGGTCATCTTTTATGACACTTTTACCATTCAGGGTATTTCTTCCCAATACACATCAGGCTATGATAAAATTCTTTCTTTTTATGGCTTCATAATATTTAAAAATCATTTTGACTCTGCCTAGCCATCCAAACAACTAAATAATTTCTCTATACTCTGAATATGTCTCATCTCTATTAATGTCACTTCTTTCTGTCTTGTCCTTACAAAAAGCACCACATGAAAATTCTCTTTGACTCAGCTCTTTTAACCCCTTCACTGGTTCCCCTTTGTTCTATGTATGTAAAGTCCAGACTTCTTGTTCTGGCTTTTCATACCACACCTTACTTTCTTGTAGATTGCATCTCCAACAATCTTACTTTTCCTTTCTCCCATATCCTGTGTTCTGCTAGAGACGCCTGGTTTGTCCTCTTCATTTAATTTTTGCATTCCTACCTCCCTGCCTTCTTCCATGCTGAAGGCAGCATTGCCTCCCTTCATGCTGTCTTTCAGCATGGAACACCCTATGTTGTATTTCTTTGTATAGTGTTTAGCACTGTGATTCAGTGCTGAAAAACAATACACTATAATATAGACCTCCTTTTGATCTAAGTACCTAAAACTTTAGGATCTTGCAGATAGTTCCAGTTGGGAGGAACTAGGTCTTTATACAATTGGGTCTTTATTTGACTCATTTATGTTTATTTACAAAGAATCTACAAAATCTTCTTGCCCCAAACACAACAGGAACCAAACAAAAGACTATGTGCACAGTTCTCTCCTTTTCCATCAGCCCCTAGTATAGAGGCGCACTCAGGTTTTTTCCAGGGCCATACTCCCAGTTCTTGTTTTGGTCTTTTCATCTCTGCTTCTTTCAAATGCAAACAAAAAGAACTCTACCAATCCATGCCTTAACCTCTATGGGTGCATCTACATGTGCAATTAAAGAGCCACAATAAACTCTGGTACACATTATGCCAGAGTTTATTGCTCCCAAGCGCCATGTTTGAACATGTGTCCAGAACCGCAGCATGTTGAGCCAGGTCGCAGCAGCCCCAGCTGGCAGAGGGCCCAGAAGAGTCAGCCAGCCAACCCAGGGCTGCTCTGATCTCATTCAACATGCTGTGAAGGGGCTGGCTGGGGCATGAGGGTGCTTCAGTGCAGGCAGGCAGCCCCCACAGTTAAGCACTTTCATGCCCCAGCCAGCCAGGGCAGTGTCTACACATGTGCTGCTGTGGAGGTTTTTTACTCTGCAGCAAGACAGCACTTGTATTTATAAGTACTATCCTGCTGCAGAGTAAATTAGTTTACTCCAGCCTAATAGGGGCACACATGTAGAAGCTGAGATGTTTACTGCACAGCTCGTTAAGCAATTGTGCAGAAAACGTCTTATGTAGATATGCCTTTTGTTTACTATGTCAGTCCTTGAGAAACCTCTCAGTCGGTATAACATTGCCTTTGTTCAGATTTCTTTTTTTTCCCAATGGCCTCTTATAGCTTATTGCTAAACGTCAGTCATTCAGCCTGAACTTTCAGTTTAGGTGGAGTTTGGTAACATCCATTTGTAGTAGGACATGAGTTTTGGGTGATTAAAATGAATATTAAAAATGACCTAAAATTTACTGAGAAGCAAAGTTTTGGGGGTAATATCTTTGGTTGGACCACCTGCATAGTTGAGAGGGATGTTAGACAACCTTGTAGGTGCATGGTGCCCTTTCTGAGGTTTGGCCTAGACCTGAGGAAGGGCACTATGTACCCAAAAACTTACTATGCAGTTGGTCCAGCCAAAGGTATTACACCCCCAGCATCAACTCCCAAAAAAAAAAAAAAAAAAAGCCTCTCCTCTCAGATATTCTTTAGATTATTACAGCCACAGCAACACTTCTACCTAACTAAAATTTACCAGCATGTATGCACAAAACATTGTGGCTGAAGAACTCATAGCTTTTAGTCCCCTAAATCACGGGTTGGCAAACTATGCCCCACAGACTAGATCCAGCCCATAATGAAAAGACTGGATTTGGCCTGTGGTTGCTCAGAGAATCAGCAGCATGCTTCAGCTACAGCACTAAAAAAGGCATCTCCAGGGTCCTATTGCCTGCTGTTTTCAGTTTAGTCTCTCTGTTGAAACAGAGGAGGCATCCCTGGGGTCCTAGCACCTATCTTTTTTTTTTTTTATCTGTTCCCTTCACAGTGATCTGTTGATCACTGAAGAAGTATAGGGGTGCAGCTTGTAGCTGGGACTGGATTGCAAGCAGTACCTTATGGTGACAAATGTTGCCAATACCTGCCCTAGATTATTTGAAAAAGTTTCGTTATTAAAATATATAAAATGTTTACAATTGTGATGACAATGGCCATTTCAATAATGGCCCAGTTCCTTCCACCTTAGTTCCTCTGAGAATCCAACTCCTACTGGCTGCTGTTCTCCTTCTATCCTATGGCATATGCCTTTTGCTTCTTAGTTTGCCTATTTCCATGTGGTACCCATCACTTGTTGTCACTCCCCTTGGCATCTTCCACTTGCCATCTGTGGCTCAAGAACCATCCTTTCATTGTAGGTGATACTGTGCAAAGTAATATTTAGTATCCAAAGAATAATAGGCATTTTTGACACTTGATGATCCTGAATTAATGGAGTCCTCACATGCCTGATAGTTCAACAGGTTTCATGTTAAAATTAAGCTTTTAAGCATCTTAAACACCTTAAGATTTTCATGAATACACAGAAACCAGTAAATCCTTCATTCTACATACTGAAGTACCTTTAAAATTGTCAACACAAGATGGCACTAAACAAATGTAAAACAATTCATATAAACATAATACAGGAAGCAACTTATATGGTTAAAAACAAGTATTGTACAAAATTTCAGTAACATAAACAGCTATCAAGTCTGTCTGTGTTTATCTGGGCAGTTTCTAAACATTTGTGGCTGGCTGAAAACTTGGTCTTGGTGACCTTAACAACTAGTAAGTGGTACTTTTTTGCACAGTCTGAATAATGAGAATGTTTAAGTTTCCTTTGCCAATATAATTTAGGTAAAAGGCTAGTAGGTTGGATAGGATGGAAAAGCTATGCACATTATCGTATTTATATCTCCTTTTGTTTTCAGTTTTCTAAACTGACACAGAGTTATGAAAAGTTACAGTTACACCAACTAAAACAAGACAGGGTTCAAGATAAAGAAAGAGGTCAAGAAAATCAAGAAGCTCCATTTGAATTCAGTAATTTAAACAAGAAATTGGAGGTAAGCCTATTTTTATTATAACACATTAATATATCTTTAGGATTAAATGTAGTTTAAAATTGCACATAATTCCTGTCTTTAAGCTTTTAGCTTATACAGCTCACTATCCTTGATTGCTAATGTGCATGTTGGATACTGTCAACCAACAAGCAGTAACTCTGGAAGTATTCTTTCAGTATTTGGAAGTATTCTGGAAGGTTCTTTGGGTTATTAAACCAACTAAATAGTTGGAGAAATGTATCTTGGCAAGCTTTCAGGTTTAAAAACCCTTTGTCGGGTTGAAGAAGCATCTGCAGTTGGTGCGCGTTCTTCCTGGATGGATTGAATAGTAAAGAAGCCAGAGGCTGGTATTTTCCTGCCTAGAATGAAGGGGCTGGACCCGATGATCTGCAAGGTCCCTTCTAGCCCCTAACAATCTATGAATCTATGCATGCAAGAAAGCCAGTCAGTGAAACTGTAAATTGAGGTGTCAGGGGTGAGACGAGCCTATGAACTTCACTGCATCAGCCTCCTAGATACGAAAACTCATGGACTCAATATAGACATTGGATTTATGACACATTATAACCTGCCTGACATCTGACTCCCCAGGTACCTCTCCACTTTTACCTGCTACATCCCTATTCTCCCCCCAACCCCGTCTTCCAGCCTGTCTCTTACCCCCTGACACCTAAATTTAGATTTTCACTGACTGGCTTTCTTGCATGCATAGATTCATAGATTGTTAGGGGCTGGAAGGGACCTTGCAAGTCATCGGGTCCGGCCCCCCCATTCTAGGCAGGCAAATACCAGCCTCTGGCTTCTTTACTATATTTATTCTATCCAGGACAAGTCCTCTGGCATCGTCCTGGCTCCTGTCCTCTGTTGTGGACCCCTCCAGTGGGTCCAGTTCTGAGTTGCTCGGCATCCACCAGCGTCACTCGTGCCTGGCATGGGAAGCACCCTCACCGTCCACTCCCCATGGTGCTTCTCCCATAGTCTCCCCGGTGCCAGTTTTTATTCTGGCCCAGCGGCATCCAGGGATGACGTCACCCACCCGTGCTGGCATCAGCTAGAAATGGACGCAGCTCACAAACTGCACGGGCGCTTTGTGCCGGCGCAGCTTGTTCACCTCTTCCCAGCCTGGAATGAGTACGTTTGCCCTGGCGTCAGAGCTTTTCCCCCAGGGATGGGCTGCCCCCTGGGACAATAATAGTCTATGGCCGAATCTCCAAATCCAAATCAAATCAGGACAGTGATTCTAATTACCGAATCAAATCACTGTCCCTCTGAATTAGCTGAATCTGAATTGAATATTTGCTGCTTTGCACAGGCCTAATAGTCACCTACAGACTGACTTGAATCCATTCCTAAATAGCTGACATCATTATGTACCCAACTGGGAATCTGAAAGTCCTGGGTCCTAGTCTCCTCTCACCCAACAGGAGTTTGATCCCAAGTCTCTCTGCCCAGCACAGCATTCTAATCACCACACCACAGGTCAGTCACTATCCAGCCTGGATTTTGAAGTCCTCTGGGCAGCCACAAGAAGGGCACATGTGAGACCTGGAAGAAGAGTGGAAGCCAGAGCATGTCTGGCCCAAGTGAGGTAGCTGCTGGCTTGGAACTGAGGAGACCCAGTTTGGGCCCTTGGTCCTAGTGAGGCAGGTGGTTTCCTACTTGTACTGTCATTGTTTTGAAGCCGACACTCTGGGCAGCCACAAGAGGTAGGTCTGTGGGAGATGTGGGGCCATGAGGAAGGGAGTAAGCCAATGTTGACGTTAGTGGCTCAGCTTCAGAAGGAGAATCCATGCCCAGCTGGGGGTGGGCTGGGAGCTGTCCCACCAGTGGGGCAGCTGCCAGAAATCTCCTGGCTGGCATGGAGTTGTCCTGCTGGTGGGGTAGCTGCAAGCGAGCCCCTAGCTTAGCAGAGACTCTCCACCCAGCCCAAAGCTGTTCAGCTGCCCCACTGACAGGACAGCTCCTAGTCAGCCCCCAACTGAGCAGGGAAGCAAAATGCTCCCCATTTCTGGCACTGCTCAGCTCCCAGGTCCCATGGCACAGCTTCAACAGGAAAAACAGAAAGAAACCTACAGATATTCGGTTAGTTGATGATTAGAGCATTCACTTAGCTTCAAATACTCAGGCAGAGAAAGAAATAGACTTCAGGTCTCTCCTGCATGTCCCAGCCACTGAGATATGGAGTAAAGTTAGGTGGGGTTATCTACATGTGCAATTATGGTGCATGAATAAACTGCAGAGCTTGTCGCTCTGGAGTTTATTGCTCCTGGGTATGCCATTTGAATGTATGCCTCAGAGCAATAAACTGCAGAGCAATAAGCTTTGTACTTTATTCACGTGCAGCACGTTGAGATGGAGCAGAGCATTCCCAGCTGGCAGGGGATTCCAGGGGTCAGCCTGCCAGCCCGGGCTGCTCACCACAGCTCGATGTGCTGTGGAGGGGCTGGCTGGAACACAACAGTGCTTCTGTGCACTGAAACACCCCTGTGCCTCAGCCAGCCGAGCAGCATCTACACGTGCAGGGCTGCAACATTTTTTACTCCACAACAGGATAGTACTTGTATTTACTATCCTGCTACAAGTACTTTCTTGCTGCAGAGTAAATTAGTTTAGTTTATTCCAGCCTAATAGGAGCACATATATAGACACTGAAACATTAACTGCACAGCTAATTAGTCAACTGCACAGTGAACGTTTCCTGCAGATGTGCCTGGTATCCATTACTTTCTCTTCCTTCAGCTCAGTTTTGAAAGTACCTAATTTGCTCTGAGAATGCCTATCTTAGTTGTACGAACCAATGTAGTAGGTAAAGGCATGCCTGATTTGGGGATTTCAGTGGATCTTAGACATGAGCTTCCAATACATTCAGCACTGTTAAGAGTTTAATTTAGGCACATTAGGACTTGGAATGACTCTAGCTTTAAGCATCAACAGTTTTAGGAATCTACATTTTGGACTTAGGCATCTAAGCTAGCAGTTAGGCTGGCCTTAAATGCCTAAAACTTTTTATGGGTGTAGTCTGACATCATAAGTAATATAAGGCAGGGTGTCTCCTCAAACAGCAGCACATGATTCACAAGATGAGCTAAGAGACTTCAAATAGTTAGTGGGCATTTTTACATGTGTGCTTTACTGCACAGTAGACTAATTTACTTTGCAGTAAAGTATCGCCATCTACATATGCATGGGAATCAGACAAGTGTAGACTAATTTACAGCACCATCAGATAGTCCCATCAGACACAGGTACTATCTGACAGCAGAGTAAATTACTGTGCTTAAACGCACATGTAGATGGTGATGTTGGGAGTAGTTTACTTTGACTCGAATAAACCAGAGTTTATTCATTTGCATTAATTGCAAGTGTAGATGCGCCCAGTGTCAAAAAACATTCCAATCTGTTGTTATTTTTCTGAGTTCTTTGCTCTATTATTTTTCTGTAGTCAAAAAACAAAAGCTAATAGCTGGTATTTTCTGAGGGTTTTCTTGGCTCTATCAAGGTTAAGAACTACTGATATAGGAGCATCAACCTTCCTCCTTCATATGATAGTTTCTGCTTGATAAGCCACATTATCAGCCTTCTCAAATTAATGTGGCTGGTGTACTATTATAAAATCTGTCAGGATTTGGAATTCACCAGAGATACTAACAGTTATTACTACTACCATAAGAACTGTTACTCAGAGCTAAATACATGACAGCCATGACATCTGTAGACCCTGCTAATCTAAGAGTGACCTTATCCAATGTTAGAATATGAATACAATGGAACACAATTCTACCATTTGGTAAATTATGTAGTAGGAAAAATGAATGCTTGGAATATGTTCAGCAGATTCTACTCTTAAGAAAATAATTACTGTAGTGACAATCTATTAAGATCAGAAATACTTTAATAGAACCTTGAACCTATAGCCCTCGGTTTGTAGTCCGAATATCCATTGTAAATGACTTTGTAAAGCTAAAAGAAAGGTTCTTTGAATTTACTGGAATGCAGAAACAGAGAGTAAGAATAGAATATAGAAAGGCTGTGGATCATTTAATGTTAAAAGGCATGGTTGTTGCTATTCACGGGGCATGTCTATATGTGCAATTAATGCAAAGCAATAAATTCCAGAGTTTATTGATTCCAGACACATGTCAAACAGTGTGCCCGGGAGCAATAAACTCCAGAGATTCTTGCACACGTTCAAATGGTGCACCTGGGAGCAATAAACTCTGGAGTTTATTGCTGTTTGAACATGTGCCCAAGAACACAGCACGTTGAGCCAGGTTGGAGCAGTATCAGCTGGCAGGAGGTCCATGGGAGAGCGGCGGGGGGTTAACCTGCCAGCTTGGGGCTGCTTCCTCAACCTCAGTATGCTGCAGAGGGGCTGGCTGGGGCACAAGGGTGTTTCAGTGCAGGGCTAGCTGGCAGGCAGCCCCTTCACTGAAGCACCTTTGTGTCCAAGTCAGCCAGGGCAGCTTCTACATATGCACTGCTGTGGAGTTTTTTACTATATACTATAGTATATAGTATTTACAAGTACTGTCCGGCTGTGGCGTGTGTTAGTTTACTTCAGCCTAATAGGGGCATGCATGTAGATGCTGAGATGTTTACTGTACAGCTAATTAGTCTACTACACAGTAAACCTCTCGTGTAGATATGCCCACTATCAGCAGCAAACAAAACCTGATTGTTGAAAATTCACAGTTCACACTGGTCTAAGTTAACTATGCAAGTTAATCTAGATCATGGAAACTAGCTTTCCATTATATTCTTAGTCTAGCTGGTAAAGTTATTATAACTTGGACCATGTAACTTGGCTGATTTTTCATCTTTCCCTGAAAGAGAGGTAATCTCCAATAGCTATGGAGCTCTATTTACTTATTTTTTTTAGATATTATCTTCAAAGCTTAGTTGTGACTATTTAAATTCTAACGTTATTAAGCAATTAACAAGCATTAACCTCCATCACAGAAGTTTGATTACATTAAAAATTACAAATCAGGTTTTGGTTTAAAAACTTCTTCCTACCCTTTAAAAATCCCACAGTGGGCGTGCCTCCATGAGACGGTAACTGCACAGTAGCCTAATAACACTGTGCAGTAGTGTGTCACAGCATGGACAGTATTAATATGATACTGCGCAGTATTATTAGGCTACTGCACAGTATCATCACTATAAAGGTGTTCACCAGTGCTATTGTGCAAGAACTCTGATTACTGTGCATTTATTTAGTACTTGATTATACAAGTACTAAATTAAATGTGCTGTAACCATTGTGCATTATTAATAAATGTGTAGATGCACCCAGGGAGAATCAATAGCAGAAAAGAGGGCAAGTAGGAAAATGTATTCCCTCCATTGGCCACCCCATATTCTGCAGACAGAAAACTATAAACCTTTATTTACTGATGCATTAATTCAGTTTCCAGTGATGTAAACTCACTGAAATCAAGGAACTTACTCTCATAAAACTGAAGGAACATAATGGTGAATCAGGCTCCTAAGATCCTGAAATAATATAAAAGTTTAATACGTTTCTAACATTTGACTTCAGTTATTGTGCATGTTAGCCAAATTGGTCATATTAATGCCTTTTTTCACATACAGCAACTTTTTTGCTGCAAAAGGAGAAAATACTTTTTTCCATTTGATTTAATTTTTTTTGGATAAAATTGTCCCTGCATATGTATTGATAACAAAAGACTTTATTTTTAGAGATATAAAAGCTCAGCATTACTTTTAAGAATTCATTGCTACAACTTAGAGAGAGATTATGATTTCAAAACGTAATAATCTTGTGTTCCTTTTTCTCAGGAGTTTAAAGCAAAATCAAGAGAATGGGATAAGAAGGAGACATTATATCAAAACCATCTAGTTTCTTTAGATGCTCAACAAAAATTACTGTCTGAGAAATGTAATTTATTTCAGGTACAGTTCCTATCTTCCTGCTTTAGAGAGAAAACTAGAATTAAATGAACCTAAATGCTCAGCTGAAGAGATGTTTTAGAAAGAAAATATCTTTAGCTAAAGCCCTGCTAAGTTTACAGTGAATATAAATGTATACAAGTTGCTGTAAATTCAAGTGAATACACCCTGAACTATCTACTACATATTATTTGGCATAGACTTTTTCACATTTTTCTATTGTAATATGAATAAATTTAAAAAATTGGAAAACAATGTATTTAGTCACACACAAGACAAGGTTTCCCTCCCCAATTAAACTACTGTTAAAAGCCACATGTGCTTCGTAATGGAAACCAGCTACAAAGTTGACTAGACATAGCCAACACTATAAAATATGTGAGCTATATTGGACAAATATGCTCATGAGAACCTTGTGTCAGGATGGATTAGTACAACCCATCTAAAATATACTGAAGTACTAATTGAGCTCAGCCCCCCTCAGTGGAAACACTTTTTCAAGTCATGGTGAGCTCTTGAGCTATGAGGTTCTTGGTAAAAGAATTAAGGAGCATGGAGTACAAGTGGTGTTCTCATTGATCCTTCCCATGGTAGGGGTCCAGGCAGAGATCCCCATATCCTGGAAGTGAATGCATGGCTGAGACTATGGTGCCGATGTGAAGGCTTCAGCTTCTTTGACCACAGGGAGATGTGCTTGGGAAGAGGGATACTATCAAGAGATGGGATCCATCTGATGAGAACAGGGAAGAGCATCTTTGGTGGTCATCTGGCCAACCTAGTCAGAAGGACTTTAAACTAAGTTTCATGGGGGATGGTGATCAAAACCCTTCAGCAACAAAGCATGCAGTCCAGAGGGAGAAGGGCTCAGAGAAGCAACTCAGCTCTGGGAAAGGGCCAGAGAGCTACAGGACTGCAACAGGTAGCACAAAAAGGAAGCAAGGCAGTCAAAATGCAAAATACATCCAATGCATGTATACATATGTGAGAAGTATGGGGAATAAACAAGATGAGTTGGAAGCTACAGTCTGTGAAAAGAACCAAAATCTGACTGGCATCACTAAGACCTGGTGGAGCAACTCTTATGACTGGAATGGGAACCTTAAGGATTACACTCTGCTTCAGAAGGACAGGGTTGGGAGAAAAGGTGATGGTGTTGCCTTGTATGTCAAAAACACATACACTAGTTTCTTGGGTCAGGCAGAAGAATACAGCAAAGCAGAATTTGGGTGAAGATGAAAGATGTGGCACTGCTGTAATGGTGGGGATTTATTATAGGTAGAGTAGCCATAGGTCCCAGTTTGGCCAGAACATTCCAGAATTTTGTAGCCTGGTCCTGATAGATTGGTCAAAAGTGCCAGGCTGAAGTCTACTGGGGAGGTGGAGCAGAGAGGAGAGGAGGACATGGACTAATGGTTTGAAGTTTCAGCAAATTAAATTTAGGTGGAATATCCAGAAATAAGACTTCATGGTGAGAATAGTGAGACAGTGGAACGGATTGCCTAGGGAAGTTGTGGATTCTCCATCACCAGAAGTGTTCATGAAGAGGTTGGACAGCCACTGTTTGGGGATGATCTAGGTATAGCTATGCCTGTTTTCTACTATGGGTGTTTCCCATGCTTCTGAGCTTTGCTAGGTGCTCCCGAACATACCACCCCCATCCGTTTTTTTTTGCTATAGGTGTCATAGTGTTTTTAAGCCTCTCCAAAGACATTGGGTGTTGACTACAGTCAAGGCTGGGGATTTCAACTGAGGTGTGCCTGTTCTGCTAAGAGCAAAGCCAGAGGTTCCTGGCTAGAGGGTCTTGCCCCTCCACCAAGAGTCAGACCAATTGCCGTATTTGGGATCAGGAAAGAATTTTACCCCATGGCTAGATTAGCATGGACTGTGGGGGGGTTTGCCTTCCTCTGTAGCGGAGGGGCATGGCCCTCTACCCGGGACCTCTTGAGTATATATTGACAACATTTTATAGAAGCAAGACATTGGCTGCCGTGGTTTCCTTGCTTGACCTGTGGCAAGTTAGGGTGTTAGGTCTGTGTTGAGTCAGGGCTGAGAATGTAGAGTTTAGATTACAGTTGTACGGGATGATTTAGATGGGGGTAATTCTGCCTCAGGCAGAGGGTTGGACTAGATGACCTCTGGAGATTAATTCCAACCCTACTTCTCTAAGACACTACATTGAAGACATTCCAACTTCCTCTTCACTCCTGCAGCTGAACTGCACCTTTCTTTCCCATTTCAAATGATTCCTGTTCCTCACCAGCCTTAAATATCTGGCAAATATCAATGAACAGGCCCCTAACAGTTCTTTGGGTGTCATCAGGCCCAGAATCTCACCGTTGCCCCTTCTCAGCCTGCCGCATATCATTAGTGTGGCCCCACCCTCCATACTGGACCAGGCAACCATGCATCTCGTGTATATATTTTGGAGGGTCCCAAGACTCATGACAAGAACACCCAGTTCAAATCATGAATGGGAGCTAATTAGCAAAGGAACACTAATTAATAAATGAGTGGGGGTATCTTGAGTACACACACATACTGAGCAGTTCTGAGCTATGGGGTCATCATTGACTCTGGTGGGGCTCAGCCCAGTGATAAATCATGAGCCTTTTGGATTTAGACTAATACTATGTATGGTTTGTGCTCTATGAATAAATAGATGCTAAAGTGTTGTTTAAAATTATGTTTATGAAATACCTGTGCTAAATCTTTCAGCAGTTTCAAAAAATGTAAAATTTATGAATTATAGATAAGTTAAGTCTGTGGGTATTGTATATAAATTGCTATTGTGTTTGTTTCAGGGTCAGTTTTTTCAGATTTGCTTCTCACTTCCATGTACTCAGGAAGAGCAATGTCTGACAGTAAAAAAGAAGGGGAAAAGGCTGTAGGGGAAAGAAGTTATGGGGGGTCAAAGAGGTTACCTGATCCCCCAGATTTGTTTTCCCTGCTGTAGTGGTGAGAGAGGGACAAATTCAAGGCAAACCTCCAATAATTAGATTCTATACCTAGAAAATTATATCAAATTTATAAATTTTCCATATATTTAATCTAACTATAAGAGTATCATCTTATAATCAAGGATGTGTTATAGTTGAGAAATTATAGTATAACATATCAAAATAACATATACTCTTTTATATTAACACTAGCAAAGTGCCTGTCAAGAATGATGGGCAGGCAGTGGGGACAGAGCGCTACCACCTCTCACTGCCATCATGCTGCATCTGGCCGCACACAGCCCCTACCCCCCCCACCCCCCAAGACGCATTGCTAATTGG